TTTCTTTGCGATTTTGAGTCATGCTATATGAGTACTTATCTAAAATATACTTCTCAAAAAATCCTTGATATAACTTATTTCACGAGTGACATACCTTAAGAACTTTTAAAACTTTTGGAAAGAGAGTTTACAAATTACGAAAAATTCTGTTTAAGTTAATTGTGTAAATTGCTTAATTTTAATTGATTGGGTTTTCCCCACACCTCCTTCTAACACTTAATAATCTATTTATGTCAATATTCATGTTAGTACTATAATAAAGAAACAAATAAATAAAACTTTCCTAAGTGGTATGACACTAAGTAGTAGCTCTCATGATCAGGAAAACCTATCTTGTGATCAATTTCATTCATATTAAAAACTCTACAACAATACTATCACACATGTATTTGAATGTATCGTCGATTGTCGAAGTATATGTAAGTGAAACCTTTATTTTTGTATAAAATATATCCTTATTTTTTTCTAATAAATATCTTTTTTTTAGATATACTGTTTATAACTTCAAAGAATTGAACAGTACAAGTAAATATTTGTTAGTAACACGTACGAACTCAAAAATACGAAAAGGCATTCGCAAACATAATTCTCCCTAACAAATAGGGGGACGGAAAGGTCCACGAAATGGGGGCTGCACAAGGGATGTCCCAGAAAAACGCGAACTTTTAAATATTTCGTGAACTACCAGACCAAAATTATTCGTGGTATTTTCGTCATATTGACAAAATACAGTAAGGTTGTAAAGCCATGTAGCATTTAGAATCAGCATTTAAAGAGTTTTAAATATCGGTGGTCGGCGCACTGCATTTTTTTTTCTTTTTTGACTTTCAAAAATAGCGTTTTCAGCGATACTTTCTTACAAGGCTGTACGAAAATATAATGCGACAAAATTTACATTCTTAGAAACTCTATGATCTAGAGTACTCATGTGAAAAAAATTATTATTTTGACATCATGTGGCAATATATGTAATGTATACGCCAATAAAGATACTACATATACAACTAAATCATGACATTATATGCACAAACACTATCAGTAATATATTGTCAGTAACGGCGAAAACGATAATGCTGAACACTCAAATTATCACGCAGCTGTTTTGAGCGTGGTATGACTCCTGTTCCTGAGATGGAACGAAAAGTAAAAGAAGTTCAAAAGTATATGGACTGTTTATCCGATCATAGCGGCGTTTGGCAGACCAACAAAAATGACAACAGGCTGAAAAGTCTAGAATAGAGACCACCTATAAGTTAACTATGCGAGCAGTAAGGCTTATATGAAATGAGTTTGGGAAATAAATTAATTCTTTGATCTTTTCTTAACTGTAGTTTGTGTGAAATTGATAAGTCGGCAACTAAAAGAAATTCAAATGCAGTATCGAATTTATGCTTTGAACGAATTTTTAAAGACGCATGATTCCAATGTCACGAGCTACATTTGGCGTCGTCGGCGTTGCATCGACAGTTATTTTGAATGATTCGTTTATCAGAGAGAAAAATGTTATTTATATTATAGCGATATTTTCTTGAAATTTCAGTGTATTATTAGATAGATGCTGAATTTTAACTTCGTAATATTAGTGAAGCAAAAAATATTAAAAATGTTTACATTTTTCTGGGGCAACCCTCGTACAAAACATGCTTTAACCCTATGCTAATTCCTGGAACACCTACATAAAAATCAAAGGTCACTCAATCTCTCAAGGACAGTGTCCCAATTGTGGATATCAAAGGTTTGTACAAAACATACCTATCTAAGCCATAGAATTGAATTTTAAAGGCAAAAAAAAAAAAGAAAAAAGAAAACAAAACTTTAAATGACGATGTGCCAGACTCCAACTGTAAAACAGTTCTTATTTAAATTTAATCCATCAATTTCATGTGACAAAAAGGTACTCTATATTAACCGTGAACGTGGGAGTTAGATGAACAAATGGAGTTGCAAATTTATTTACTCATTCATGTGTCTTTCTTTTTCTTTAGGTCAATTTTTTTGAAATATTCAAAAGCTATGCTCGGCGCTGCTTCCCTAACCCGAGAAATGCTGACAAAAATGAATAGGGATTTAAAATCAGGAGTGTTTGCCTTCACGGTGACTATAAATATGAAACTTTCAATGAATTCTAAAACTTAAAGATAACATAAGCTTATATTAAACTTCCAATTCATATTTATATATATTTCAAATATATTTCAAATTACCGGTATTATCGTATTTTGAATTTACTGTTTCGGGGAAAATTCAAATGTTACAACATGATAATAGTTATAATTTTGGAAATTTATATTTAGCTCCATCAGTAAATTCAAAATGTTTACCATGATTTTATGATAATAATGCATGAATACTATAAAATATATGTATGTTGTTTTTTTGAGGAGGAATACAAGACCGAAATTTTATTTACTGAATCTTTTGAACATCTCTTTTGAAATATGATTTCAAAATTGAAAGACTGATATAAGCTCTTTTGAAGTAATTTATACAGTAATCAAGCTCAAAAGTCCATTGAAACAATACAAGTCGGGAGAAAAAACAAAACAAAACGGACCTCTATAAAAGCATCAGAGGTGGGATCATATGCCATGGAGGAGGATGCATCCTCTGTTGACCGGTCACACCAGCCGTATGCTCCTTGTCATGATCGGGCAAACGGAAAAATCCGTAGACAATTCAGTGTGTAAATAATAGCCTAACAATTAGTATGAAAAAAAAGTCAGTCTGCATTCGACTTAATGAAGATTGTATTTGCTGACAAGGTCATTGTATTGTTAGCTGTTAGGATGTTTATAGCTGTTTGTCAATAGCTTGCCTCGTTTTAGAATTTGTTCGTACGTAGAGCATGCTTTTGCGTATCAACTCAACTGGGAGACATAAACCCCATATTCAGATGATAAAAGTATTTTGCTACATAAGTAAAGGAAGTTGTCGATAGAAAAGTTGAAGTCATAACATTTTGTTGTTAAGTTACCATTAACGTCTTTTTCCAGCAAAATATCCAAATACAACAGATGTGTAAGACTCTGTGGTATCTTTTATTTCAAGTTCACTGGGATATTTAAAGGACTTATTGCATGTTTCCAAATTATTTGAAATTAAAAGCGTAAAACGTTCCTTATGACCACAGTTTATAAATTTTGTGTTTTTACACAAAATTTACCAATTATTGACTCAAATGAAAACCTGTGAATTAAAAATCTAAGTTAATTAGATAGCGATCACGTGACCCTGTGACATCAAAGGCGACAATGGCTGATTCGCTCTTCACGTCAATCTTACTAAAATATACGCGATATAACCTGAATTTCCGCGTTTTGGACCACCAAATCACTGATTTTATCGATTTGAAATTAAATATCTAACCTTATATTTTAAGATTGTCCGCAAGAAAAAATATGAAAAATCTGTTAACATTATAAAAATAGCAGCGACGATAGCGAGGGAGACACGCTGAAGACGAAGAAACTTGCCATCACAATACATTTTTGATTTGTCATCTTATCACATGTATTAACTTATTTGATTCACAAATTTAAATATTATATAACTTCTTTATTCTTTGTTTTTAACATAATATTAATTTATGCAAGTATATATACCTTCATATGTTATCATATGTAAAGGATGGCGGTCTTGAATAATAATTTTCTGATCACGAAAGATTGCCGTAATCAGAGCTACAGATTCTAAATGTTTGGAGTAAAAAAAAAAACGAAAATATCTCAAAAGCCTTATACCCTAGAACTAGTTAATGTTTCTATTGTAATTGAAAAGCACGTTAGGATTTTTTTCCAGCATTTTTCGTAATTAAGCTGCATTTATCATTTTCTTGATATAGTTTTTTCTAATATAATTACAAAATACATTATATTACAGCAAATGTTAAGTAATAAAGTGTCTAACTTTTTAATTAAATTTTTTTTTAATTTTTCATATCAAGTAATTAAGAGCTTATATATCAATCTTTCAACGCTGTAATCATATTTCAAAAGAGATGTTTAAAAAATCCAGTGAATAAATTTTTGGTATAGTATTTCTCCTACAGGCCCTAAAATAAGTTAAAGATAAAAGAAATGTTATAAAGATTTTAATTGAAAGGTGATTTGCTTGGCATCTTGTTTGACCGAAAATTTTGAATCTAAACTGAATTACGAAATTTTAATCTTTTCTAAGGAGAGGAAATGTTGGGGACACAGAGACGACAAAGAATTATTACAAGATAAAGATCTTTTAAGTTTATGCACGACAAGTAAGTATATATAGGATTATAACCTTGCTAAAACTGTAGATGTAAAAAAAATACTAGTATTTAAGCTTAGAAGTCGATGGCCCGGGTAAATTATATGAGGGAAAGACATATTTTTCTGTTTACAAGAAATTCAAGCTGTTGCAAGTTCTCAGATTTTCTCATTTATATCTTTATATTTATTTTGAAACTTATTGACTGAACTTGTTTTCGTTTATTTCAGGTGCAAATGTTGACGAGAATGTGACCTTAATGAAAGAAGAACAGACTATCAAAGCATTTCAACCTGCAAAGTATAAAGACTATTTCTTGTGCAACGATAGTGGTAAACTAATCGTCAGAAAAGTGGTCGACTTTATGGTGGATGAAAGATGTTAGTACTGTACAGTTTCCATTTATTTGTGTTGGGCTACCTTCTTCTTCTTGTTGAAATTTTATACAAGAAAACTGAAATTATAACCCATTTGGCATTCGACACAAAAACAAAAATATTATAAACACAGCGATTGTATATATGGTTTAGAACAGCTTTTCAACAAAAATGATCAACTTGTAAACGCAGGCATGATTTATTAAGCATACATGCACATGTACAATTTTTGCGTTCGAGGTTAAACGAAATCTCCGGTAGATCATTTATTTGAAATTTTTGACTTTTCAATTAAAAATCCACAACATCGAACATGTATAAAAAATATATATATATAATTTTTATTATAGGTCATTTTGTAAAAACTCGGTCAATAAATCCTACCCCATGTTGCTCATTTGTGTACACGTTTCAGTCCAGGAATGACCACACAGTGTACCTGGGAGTCCGTGATGAGAAAACGTTTGGTTTAATTGTAAGTTCTGAGTTAAATTGATCAGTCATTTTAATAGAATGGTTCATTTTTTATTATCTTCGCTAGCCAAGTGACCGATTTGTTTACTCTCCTAAAAGAATCTGATACTTGCAACGATAGTGTAAACAAAAAAAAATTATTACGTGGGGGACATTTTGCGAAATTTGAGATGACTTAAGTTTCTCAAAATTCATTCCCACAGGAACAGTTTCGAAAAGAGGTTTCGTACTGAAAAACAAACCAACATATTTTGTGTATTCTTTAGCTTCCATACCAATGCAAACGTTTTGTTATACAGAAATCCAAAAAATATCACCTTATAAATATCGACGTTTACAGTATTTATCGAACGTATGCACTTAATCATTTGTGCGTACTTTTATGACTGAATAATGATTCCTTGAAATGCTTCAATATATCTAGTTTTTACTTTTTGATTAAAGAGGTGAAGCGCCCTTTCGCAGTATTTCGCCTACTTTCAGGTTTAAATGGAAAGTTCTATTACTTTTATTAATTAATAGATTTACTTTTTTCTTGACTGTTTTCAAGATTTTTATTTTCTCGAAAGGTCTAGATCACTATTCGTTTCGGGAAATACCATGGCCGTAGGAACCGGGGGGCACGGGGGGGGGGGCAAATAATTTTGCCTATATATATATATATATATATATATATATATATATATATATATATATATATATATATATATATATATATATATATTACTGTAGTTAACATAGATACTATATGCTTGTGCCCCCTCAATGAAAACGTCTGATGACTTTATGTGTCTCTTCTTTCCAAAATAGTCGAAAATCCATTTTACATATTAAGTCCCTGCAGGTAACATTAAAATCAAATGTTCATGTATAGGTAAGCAGATAAGTTGAAACAATAATGTATATATCTATTTAATACGACGATTAACTAGATAACGTAAAAAAAAAAATACTTATAACTACGATTTTTTAAAAAAAAAAATCTGTATTATGAGGGCTTGAGCCGGAGACCCACAAACAAGAAACAGTTCAGCGTACACCATTAGGCTACTCATACTAAAAATTTCTGTCTTTTGTGTATTTATATTGCCCCGAGTCTTTAAGAAAATAGGGTCACCGAAGTTTATAATCAGTTTTCAAATGAATATTAAGTTAAACGAAGAAAATTAATAGATACTTAAATACTTAATATAACAGTATATTATTATATTAAAAGAATATAATCTATTCAAGATTTCTCTGGTTTAAGTTTTTCAAATACACAATCTGTTTTTTTTTTTCAATGCTCATTCAATAGATCTCCATATATCCCATGCAAAATCTGTAAACTTCATTGCTTTTGTATGAGATAATTATGACTATTTTATCTATAGGTATTGGTATAATTTGCGTTTGTTTAAAGCTAGATTTACTGAATATAAAATATTGAAATAAATTGGATTTTGGTAAATGCGCTATATTGTAGGCCATTTCGTATGCTAAGTGCGCTATACCTCTTTACTTCAAAGAATGTTTTGAATCAATCATATATGTACTAATATATTAGAGAGAGTGTGTATAGGGGTGATGGTAATATTTTTTACATGCATCTATTTCTTTTTATTGTCTCTCTCTCTCATCAAACTTTATAGATTGCGTAAATGAACTTGGAAAACATAATATAATAGCTTTTGCCATACAGTACACTCTTTTTTTCTTTTATTTAAAGGACACCAATAGTACAAGTACCGAATGGAATACAAAATTCTCTTTTCCGCGGTGTAAAAATTCACCAATACATTTCCTGAAGCCAAGTAAAGGTAAACAAACAAGCTGATGTAATTAATTAATTTTAATATCGGGGTCAAAAGGCAAGGGGAACATTCATGAAGTTATTACGTTATAAACTCTGGCGACGATACTTTTAGGAAAAATACTAGTACTTTTATACACTTGAGAGAAAAAATACTCGGTCTAAAAAGTTTAAAATACAAGAACTAGATCTTTGAATTTACTTTTATGCTAAGAAAAGCTGGAAATTTTATGGTTAAAGAATAAAAATCGGTCGATTCTATTAAATGTCAGAAATTCTCATTTATTGATGAAGCTTTCATTTTTACTTTTATAAGTATTCTTTATTTTAGAATTGATTGTCCTGTGCGACAAATCTAGTGAAGGTGAATTTAATTTCACCGTTGTGGAAGATGAGGTTGCAGCCGATCCCGATCTTAAATATGATATCTACGAGGGACTGGGACTGGCAGAAACGAACATTGATGGGAAATCAACATTTAAGGTATAAATTAATTGAAGAAGTAACAGGTTTGAACTAATTGGGTGTAGTATTTAGTAAATCCGGATCTCATGAAACAACAAAAATAATCAAAAATCAAAAACACACCAAAAAAAAAAAAAAAAAAAAAAAAAAAAAATAGCAATAATCCTTGATTTGTAGGTTTGTGATCTACGTTTATGTATGCTAGAGTTTCGTATTTGTAACAAAAGCCTCATGTGAAGAATTAAAAGGGGGAGATTATATACATGTAATCTATTAAAAGAGTATTGAATGGTTTAAAAATACTTGAAGCATTAATTTTGAATAATTGTCAACTTTCTAATATTGGCTTGAGCAAAGATCTATGTATTACAAAGTGGTTGAAGCTGAAATCCAAACTCTTGTAACTTTCAAGTTCAATTTGAAGAAAGTCGGCAATATCTCTTTAAACTTCACCTAATACATACTTCAGAATAGTGTTTTCAAATATAAGTTCATATTTGTATATTCTGTAGAATATACTAATACGAATTTATATTTGAAATCTACATTACCGGTATTATTCTATCAAAAAGTATGTAACATTTTTTGTAGATTTCGAATTTATCACCATTTACCAATTGTAAATGGACACAGGATTAAAATACCAAGAAAGGTAAACATTTGTGCTCATTGTACTCCTCAAGAAATAGAGACTAACTTTGTTGTACTAAACCGCAGTTCACTGCAAGATGAAGAAATGGAGATTAACAGTTAAACACGGAAAATAAAAATCAAAACATTACTCAGTTTCAAAGAAATTATATCTCTTCTAACAAAACTGCTTTTTGAGCAGATTTGTTTTTTTTTTCATAAAGAAAATAAATAAAACGTCTCACCCGGCTTAGTATTTTATAGTTACATGTTACTTTTTTATTTACTTCAGGCATGTCTCACTTGTTATATTTTATAAATCAATTTTTATATCTTTTATACAGTTGTAAAATGGCGATGAAATACGAATGTGAATGGCATCATGTCATAAATATAATGTTTTGTGTATATATATATATATATATATATATATATATATATATATATATATATATATATATATATATATATATATATATATATATATATATATATATATATATATATATATATATATATATATATATATATATATAAAGTTTTTAATGTCCATTTGTTTTTTACTATCATAGTTGAAGGAAAACTTTCTTTGAAGGGGATATAAGAAAAGATATTAATTCACTTGTAAAGGTGATCTTATAATGGCTTTTATATATTTCCTTGTAAGAAATCCTGTAAATAGTATGGTTTTTTGTATATATCAATCAAGGTTGTGTTAAAGTTGTTTTTTTAAAGGTTCACTAATATTTAAAGATTATTCAACGTTTAATTTTTGAATTACATTGAACAGATTTTTAAGAATGCATGTATTGTCCTTTTTTTAAGCAACACTTTCAATAACATATTACAATAAAGAAGAAAAACTACTTTATCATTAAGATCAATAACGATGTACAAAATTTATGATAACTGAAGTGCATATTTCAAACTTACATGTCAGCGTTTGTTCCTAAAGTTACCAATGAGTGAAATTTGTCCCTCTTTGCTGTAAGAAATTCCTTCTTACTATCACGACTCTCTTCCATCTTCAACAATTTTCTTCACAATTGTGTGCTTGACATTGTCCTTTATCGATGTAATATAAATTTGAGTCTCTTATGTTCATGTGGAAGAGTGGAGGACAATCATCATCATTTCTTTTTCATGCAAAAAATATGCAGAGAGCAGCAAAGACTTTTTTGACAAATTTCTGCAAATGGAGAAATTATATGCTGTTGTTTTATCACTCTGTATGAATATCTTAATCAATTGATTGTTAAATCGTTTATTAAAACATCACGTCGTTTTCATTGATGTAGTTTCTATTTTTAGTTGATTTGTGTGTTATATAATACATATGTAGCTCATAAAAATAAATAATTTTTGGAACAATTGTAATAATTTTTTTTTCAAATCTCAATAATATCAAAACGTATGACTTTTCATCACTTCATACAACCTGTCCCTACGATAAATTAAAGACAAAGCTCGTTGACAACATAGATTACTAGTACTGCTTCTGCAATAAAATAGCACTTGCAACTTTTCATATCTTGTCATTGTCATCTTTAAACTTACTTTGTTAAAAAACATTCTGATTCTACACACAAGTACTCTGAGGTTGATATTTAAAGGATGTTCGAGTTCCTTATTGACAATATCTACGTACATGTAGTCTTTGGAGACCAACAGGCATGCTTTTAAATGTGTCATAAGAATAGTCCTTAAATACTAGTATGACTTAAGAATGTCCTTACTAGGATAGACTTAGGAGATTCTTAAGACAATTCTTGTTACAATATTGTAACATTACAAACTACTGTATGTGTACTTAATTACTTGCTTCGATCTGCCATTTTATCCTGCCTCGATCACCGAGCCCGATTTAGTCATCTATTTCAACAGGCAATAGGCCTATATAAATGTATGTAAATATATATCTATGTTTAATGTGATTTTTTTTTTCAAATTCACTATTGAGCATCAATTTTAATATAAAATGGGTTATTGGCACTTGCCACGTGGACCATTCAGTCCAACTGTGTCGACCCGCATATATATTCTGTGTGAATCTCGACAATGTACGTGAATTATACGTGCGGTATTCATGGTATTAATTACACATTGCTACTCTAACATAATTACACATAATTGATCCTTCTGGACTAAAAATTTTAAACTAATTGTTTATAATTACTAGTAAACGGTAATTAAATGCTCAACAACCAAACTACGACTGCACAATAAAAACCGCAAGGCTATTTTCAGCCACTTTACTTAAACTCATAGACAATAAGTTTTTTTTTTTAATTTTTATCTTTTAGCGCTACATGTGTAGCGCTAATTCATGACTACGCCAACCACTTCATACCCTGTGATTGCGCTAAATTTTGAATTCGTTAATTTATGTACACATACAGTATGTTTAAATACGTACATGTAACAGAGAAAATAATAATAATAATGGATACTTAAAATGTTTTTAAAAAGCGTAAATAAATTTAGAGATATGTATTCCTATAAGGAAAGTCTACATGTCAAAATTCTTTCTTGATATAATAATTTAAATCAATAAATAGCAGCTCTCTCTCTCTCTCTCTCTCTCTCTCTCTCTCTCTCTCTCTCAGTAATGACGAAAACATGGAAAATTATCCATATTGGTGTAAAGTTTAAAAGTTTAATTTAGTTTAGTTTGTACAGATATCATTTACAAGATTAAAGCAGTTTTAAACAGATAAGTTTTTAGTTTCTTTTTAAAAACGCTGACCGTTGTTTCAAAGTGTAAATCTAGAGAGGGGCAATTCCATATAGTCGCTGCCCACAGAACAAAACGACTACGCGTCACTCGTATAGTTTTGTTCGTGTAATGGGTTTTATTAAGGATGGTGCATTCTCAGATTACCTGCATATGGGGTTTTGTCTCCCAGTTGATTCGATACGCATGAGCATGCTCTACGTATGAACAATTTTTAAAACGAGACAAGCTATTGACAAACAAGTTGAAGAAACCAGTATTTCAACAGTCTCGTTTGAAGTCATCAATTCGCAAGTTTTATTGTCGATACAAAGACCTTGTCAGCAAATACAACCTATCATTAAGTCAAATTCTGACTGACGTTTTTTTATACTAATTGTTAGGCCATTATTTACACATTGAATTGTTTACGGATTTTCTTTTGTACTTCCCGACCATGACAAGGAGCACACGGCGGGTGTGACCGGTCGGCAGGGGATGCTCATCCTCCAAAGCACCTGATCACACTTATGATGTTTTTGGAGGTCCGTGTCTGCTCTGCTCCCGATTTGTATTATTTAGATGAACTTTGAGCTTGAATACTTTTCGTTATCTCCATATTTCATCGAAGAGACATCTGGGTGAATTAGAAAAAATTACCAAGACACATTTTTATCGACCTGCACTTAAATACAAGCAATGGGAATAAACTTCTATGTCTATTATATTTATATTACACTTTTTGAATTTTTGTGTTCTATGGTTTTAATTTTAAATTTTACTGCAAACAGGAGTGAAACAAAACTGTTTTACAATTGTCAATGAACTTCACCTATCTTTACTAAAAGAATAAATTGCAGTAAATGTTTGATACTATTTGTAGTTCAAATCATTATCTCTATCAACAAATTACAGATATTGTTTGGACATTTTACAGTCAATTCACAGAATAGTTTTCATCACTAAAATTATTTTACACAAGCAAATAATCATATTTTGAAGTCTAGAAAATATGAAAATACTTGACCTAAATGATAAAAAAAATATCAAAACGCCGAACTGATTACAAACTTTAGTTTGTGCGAGTTATTGTGCGTTATAAGTTTTAAAACATTGTTTCATAAAGTACATATTAGATGTCAGGAGTTCAACAAAATAAGGTAAAATAGGATCGCTTCAAAATCTAGTATTTTTTGTAAGATAACTACTTTATCAAAATTCCTTTATGCCTTAGATTTAAAGATTTGAATTAAATGGACCAAAAAGTAATTTTTGAGGAAGTTATTATATCATATCTCTTTCACATTAAAACTTTTCAAACCAGATTTGAAAAAAAAAAATTATGTAAAATAACACTCAAAAAGCCAAATTCTTTCATATATATCATGAAAGAAACTCAATCAAGGTTTAGAGCTAATCATTTATATCCCTGACACCATTTTAAAGCATAAAAAATAAAATTTCTTTTGATTATATTTTAGAAAGTCTTTTAGGATATAGTAATATATTTTTTATGCAATTGCCCATTCTATTGCCACTTCAGGAATTTTAACTAGAATGTGTAGTACCGTACACAAAATTCTTTAAAGCTGAAAATGCTTTAGTATGTTTTCTTAAGCCAAGTACAGGTAAAAAATCGTAACTTTTTATATTGCAGTGGGAGAGAATGGGGAAAATATCGCCAATAATCTGTTTTTAGAAAAAATTGTGAATTTTTAGGAGATACATCCCTAGATAGTTGACACTTGTCAGTATTCCATATATCGCACCGTTTAGGGCTGAACGGGACAGTCCCTTAAATAGAATTTACCTTATATCTTAAAAACAGCAACAACAACAACGACAACAAAATATCCGAAGACATATATTGAACCAAAATAAAAACAAAACAAAAACAAACAACGAAACAAACAAACCTGATCCCTACATTTGGGGTTCATGGGGCCGAGAAGTCTTTTCTCAATACCTTTTAAACGTTGTTGTGCATTACTGAAGCAGAATTGTTCGTTTGGACATTGTGGACCTCTCTACATCAACTAATAATCTACTCGAAGAAAAATTAGGGATTTTTATGGGTTAGATCACTAGATGTTTGAGTATAAACAACTTCCTTTTATAATATGAGTGCTACGAGGGACAAGGGACTCACACTGTTACAGTATGAGGGTACATAAAAATAGAAAAAAAATACTAGATTTTAACTATTTGGGAGTCACATTCTTTTAAAAGTAAAAAAAAAAGAAAAGAAAAGAACTGAAAAATAGGCAAACGCCCTATATTAAAGATAACATTTCTACCAATACAAT